AGGGCAGCGGCGGCGCTCTGGTCTCCTGGCGGGACTCTGGTCTGTCAGCGGCACCGCCGGCGGCCGATCGGGCGAGCGCCTCCGTCAGCGCCTCGGAGCCTGGCGCCCATTTTGCCAGCCTGCTGAGGAGCCCTGCGCGGCCTACACGCTCAGCTGTTGGACGGGGATCGCTGCTCGCGCCGGCCTCTTGAGCCAGGGGGGGGACGAGTTTTTGAAATTCGGTCCTTAAACAGTTAAGGTTTTGTTTTATTTGGTTTTATTTCTAAGTCACAGCCCCCCGAATCTGGTCAAACTTCCGGACCACTTCCTGGTCCCCGACCTCCGCTGGTAACTTCGCTGCGGGCCGACCTCAGCCGCGGGATGCCCTTTGGCTGGTCCCAGGCGCACGTCTGGCCCAGCTTGTGGGGCCGGGGGTAGGGAGCCTGAAGTGTTAGCCGAGCTGCCTTAGAAGCGGAGTAATTAGCCCAAGAAACATTCTATTCATGTGAGTAACCTTTTGCAGAAACAGAGCGATATACTGTATCTGGAAAAGTATCACTTGTAAGATGAGTTTCTGCTACTTTCTACAAAGGATCGGATGCATTGATTTCTTTGCTAGGGGGAAGGGGAACTGGGGGACTTTTAACTTTTATTCCATATCGAATTATCACATCAAATATCCAGAATACAAATTGCCTCAGCTCTCCTTGCCGTGATGATAACAGACGTGGTGAAATTATAAATGTAAAGGTAATTTTATTTTATGGTATTTCAAAGTGCCACGGGTAAAAGTACAGATCTCTCAAAATTAACACCCGAATTTAAGAATTACACGTGGATTTTAGGGACGATTCTCATCGAAATCAAAGGAAAAAAATTTATTCCGTACTGCCTTCGCAGCCAGTCCATATGCATTTTTGTTTGACTTAGTTTTTCTCTTCCCTGTGTACTTTTGAAGCTAGGCAGATAATGGCAGTACTGGAAAGGGATCATTGCTAAGGTGTTGATGCTTTGCTCTTTTCTCCCAAGTCAGTTCCAACCGAAGGTTCCCCACAGATAGGGCCCTACCGGTAGAACTATATGTGCAATATACGCCAGCAACCTCAGTTTTTACATAATGTTTAAGGATCACACGGCACAGTTTTCCATGATGAATTTTGAAGATGGTGAAGGTTGGGAAAAAATTTCAAGTGTGCAATTACGTTGGAGCCATCTAAATTTTCCCTTAAGTTTCAATTACGCACCCATATATTTTCAATTACTATTCATGGCTAGTATGCCTTGCCTTGATAGGGCAGGGAAGGCTGTTCTCATAAAGTTTGGTGACGGGATATTTGAGGTTATAAAATGTCTTCAGGCATCTTCAAGAAGAAAAACATCTTTTGTTAGTTGTTGCTATTACTCATTCTCATATCCAAAATGACACTGTTACAATGCTCGTAAGTTGCACTTTACAACTCTAATAGTTAAATCGGAGTAGAAGAAAAAACAAAGCTACTAACATGTGTAACAAGTTTATTATGTACCAGACACTCTACTCAACATTTCTATACATTGTGTATGTAAACTGCCCCGTTGGAATCAGGCTCTGCAGCTTTCCAGCTTTGTTACCTTGGGCAAGTAACCTAACTTCTCTGTGCCTTAGTTTCCTCATATTTAAGTGGGAATGATAATAGTGCCCAACCTCAGAGGTTGGTTGTAAGATCAAATGAATCAATACATGGAAAGCATATTAAAAAAAAAAAAAAAAAAAAAAAAAACCACATTGCCATTCGGTCGATTCCGACTCATAGTGACCCCATAGGACAGGGTAGAACTACCCCGTAGAGTTTCCAAGGAGCGCCTGGTGGATTACGAACTGCCGACCTTTTCATTAGCAGCCATAGCACTTAACCGCTGCACCACCAGGGTTTCCAAAAATAAGTGCTGACTATATTATTATAAGGAGCCCTGGTGGCGCAGTGGTTAAAGTGCTGGACTGCCAACCAAAATGTCAGCAGTTCAAAACCACCAGCAGCTGGTGGGAGAAAGATGTGGCAGTCTGCTTCCATAGAGATTTACAGCCTTGGAAACCCTATGGGGTCGCTATGGAGTCACTATGAGTCAGAACAGACTCGAGGGCAGTGGGTTTGGTTTTTTGGTTTTTTATATTATTATGCTTTTTATTTTTCCTTTTACACATCAGAAAATTGAGGTGGAGAGAGATTAATTTGCCTGAGGTCACAAAGCTAGTAAGTGGCAGAATCAGGATTTATATACAGGCCAGGCTGACTCCAGCGCTGTATTTGTGTCTATGATACAATCAAACATATTGGTAATTTCACCCATTGTAATTGGGTTAGCTTATTAATTGACTTCAAATAAAATAAATGTATTCAAGTGATGAGAGTTTAAAACTGCTCAAACACCTGGAAATTAAAGACAATCTATACTTTAAAAAAAGACACAAAGGAATTCATCCTATAAAGGAAAATATGGTGGTCTTCGATTAACTCCCTTAGGAAGCCCTTCTATGTTATGTGTCATTAGTTTAGAACCAGGGCTTCGAACTGGTTCATTCTGGTTTGAACCCCTGCTGAGAATTTGCATTTCCACCCCAGATATACTGAATCAGTATCTACAGTTTAACAAGATCCCCCAGGTGATTCTTATGTATAATAAAATTTGAGAACCACCGCTCTACTAATGGTTCTCATAATTGCTTCCTAACCAGCAGCAGTATTAGCATCATCTGGGAACTTGTTAGAAATGCTAATTATCAGCAAGGATGTGAACCAGAAAGAATCGGTGAGAAGCCCTGTTTAGAACATAATTTACAAAATGCCTAAGAAACAGTCTATATTGCCCATTGTTGTTCTGGCCATGGCATCAAGGTGACCCCCATGGTGTCAAATCTCTATTAGTGTTTTCATGGATGATAAAGCTATAAAGTTATCTAAACACTTCTTTGAATCCATTTGTATTTGCAGCTGGTATTCCTTGAGTTGAGGTCTATTATGTTCTGTATATTGTATTGCACTCTGTACCTAAGTTTATTGTGAGGTTTAAAGAGATTTATCTTAGTTCAAGGGATCCTGCATTTTCTGAACAAGTGTCATGTGAAGAAAAATTTTCTTTAGTCAAATTTGGGGAATGTTGAGTTAAACGAAATAGTGTCTTTATTGCATTACTTGCCAGGGCTTTTACTGTGCTACTGTGCTTTATGACTCTCCAAGATTCCCAAAAGTATTTGACCAAGGAAAATGTTGGGGACAAGTGTTCTAAGAATCACATGTAGGGAAATGGTGTTCTATTCATCCAACCTGTGATTTTGTAGGCTTTGATTTTTAAGCCCTCTCAGCCTTGGTTCGTGCTCATGTGGCAGTTTCTCTGTCCCTTGATCACTTCAGTTGCCTTTCTTCGGGCCTCCATGCTACCTCTGAACGATAGCATACAGAAGTCCAGGATAATGTGCTGTGGTTTGTTCCCAGCTTCATCCTGCTGATACCCAGCATGTTGGCTTTTGGGTCACAGCGGCACATCACACCGCCTTTCTTCTGAGACTATTTTGTAGTGACTCACAGTAACTCAGATCATCACCTCCAATTTGTTTGCCCTCTATTCCACTGGGATTATTTCCTTTTAATGTCAATATAACCAATAAAATCTCATTTTTTAATTAAAAACTAATTTAAATGTCAGTATGTTGATTGTTGCTAGGACCTATCTGTGAAGCTGAGATGGTCCTAAAACCCTAAACACTTGGCTTCGGCTTTAAGAAAAAATTCCTTGGACACACCTATGTCTTTTGGGCTCAAAACCCAGACTTTGAAATATTTGACTGTGGCATTAGTATTTCCTGGGTTTTTGTTTCTCTCTCTCCTTTTCAAAGCCCTGGGAAGGAGAAAAGGCAGAACAATTGTATCTGCTAAATGGAAAACAAATGGCTTTGAAAAAATAATGTATAAATGAAGGCTTACTCGTATCTAGAGAACTCATCTCTACCCATGTATGCATGACCAGTCATCCCTGCCACTCTGGCCTTCTTGTCCACCATGCATATCCACCCACTCATAGGAACATTGTCTGACTAGTATTTGAGACTTCAGGTGTTTCACTCCTGCTACTGAGGAACTTACTGTATTTTGGAGGATTGGGACTTCTTGTGAAATAAGCAGAAGGCAAATGTGCCAGGCAATTTATAATTAAGGGCCAAAATGTGTGCTTCAGTTTAGATATAAATACTACAGTAAGTCATAAAAGGCAAGAATTTTCTTAAAAAAGTTTTCACGGAGGAGGCAGGTACCCTAGACTATGCCTAAGAGTCAGGAGATAGGCAGAGAGGGAGGTATGTGGAGAGCAAGAGCAATAATAAAAATGAGCCTGGTATTTTGGGGGAACGTTTGTCCCTAATACAGTGATGGTAGTGATGCCTGCTGGTAAGAGTAAGATTTGGAGTAATAAGGCACATAGGTAGGATCAGAGTCCAGTAAGAATTTGGACTTATTTAAAAAGAAGGGCCATTATAGATTCTTAAACAGGAGGATCTGCTTTCGGAAAGTAAATCTGGCTTTGATATGCTAATTGACTGACTGGGTGAAGAGGCTATAGACCAATTATGATAATGGAGTAATCCAGGCATATGGCAATTTTGATGTGGGGGTGGGGGAAGGATGGAAATGGAAAACAGAACAAACCAGAAATATTTTGCAGAACAAGAAGCAATAGCAACTGAAGAAGTCTGAAGTTTTGAGTGTGTAGAATCAGGAGCATTGCGGCCATTGAGAGAAACTAGGATTTGGTTAAAGGAGAATGGGTTCCATTTTTGATGGCAGGAGCTTATGTCAGGCTCAGAGTCAGATCCAGTCAGAGTACAGTGGCTGCTGAAACTGTGATGGTCTTAAGTTATTCACTAAAACCAGACCACTGCTTAAGTCTATAAAGGTATTTTCTACTTTGCTTTTAGGGAAGGTAAACCAACAACTTTAAAAAAAAAACCACCCAGACTCAGATTGTTGTCCTTGAAAAGAGGGACTGGTTTGTCACAGTTAGTTCTTATTTATGGCTAACTTTATAAACGTTAGGGTCTTTCCTGGTCTGTATCATACTGCATTCTGGCATCTGGTTTGCTATTGACAACAAGCCTCCAAGCTGTGCTGAAGTTCCTCTTCCCACCTAATGGCCACCCAATGGGACTAGGAGGCAGAACCCACAATCCGTATCTATACCAAAAGCAGAAATACAGTAAAACCGCACCATGATACTACAAGTAGGGTTCAGAAGATTCGGTTCTGCAAAAATGCGTATCAGGTTATTTCAAGGTACTGAACTGAGATCTGGGGCTGGGCAGAGGATGGGAAGCAATCACCAATGGAATTAGAGCCGAGTCTGCCTTATGGAGAGTGGTGGCACAGTGGTTAAGAGCTCAGCTGCCAATCAAAAGTTGGAGTCCACCAGGTGCTCCTTGGAAACGCTATGAGGCAGTTCTACTCTGTCCTATAGGGTTGCTGTGAGTTGCAATCCACTCGAGCAGCAATGAGTTTTTTTACCCTACCATCCAAAAGGGCCCTTTTCTGGCTTGGGAAATCAGAATTGAAACCTATGCCTCTATGACTCCTATAACATCCTGAATCACCACAATCCAAAGTCTCTTGCAGCTCAAAAGTTCCATAAAACTACCCTAAATAATTTTCCAGCCATGAAAATCCCCTTCTGGAAATGCCCAGCCGCTATAAGTAACATTTCTAAGTAAACTGATAAAATTAGTCCTTTGCCCCTTAAAAAACAACAAACTTTTAATGTCAATTTAGAAAGTAATACACATGATCTGACCTTCAAAATGTTACCTTTCAAAATGGAAATTGCTTGGAAGTGGCTTTTAACTGGGGAATATGGCATGCATGCGTCTGTTACACTGCTTTCCCGCCAAAGTGAGTGTGCCCTTAGGCATGCTCTTGTGCCAGACACTGCTTTGTGAATGCAAAGAATGTTTGACCACTGCTGAGCTTTCTGTAGTGCTAGGCCACATTCTCACAGAACTCTTCTAGTCGATTCTTGAGTGCTTCGCAGTCAGCAGTTGACATACCCTGAGGCTCTGTCTGGGTGTCACTCCAGTTGTCTTACAGGGAGCTTCTCATTTCCTCAGTTCTGTATCTACCAGTTGACATATATTAGGTTTGGTTCTGGTTGGCGGTTGCTAGTACCAGGTCACCTAGCTCACTGGTGAATTCATTCAAACCCAAAAAGTCACACCTGTGTCCTGTGCGCGGGTGCTGCAGGCTTAGGTGGAGAAAAGCAGGGATAGAATTGGAACCCAAAGCCCAGAATGGCAGGAGAGGATGTGGGGGCTCCACCCGATCACCTCTGGGTTCACCAAGAGGGTATCTACCGCGATGAATACCAGCGCACGTGGGTTGCTGTCGTGGAAGAGGTAACTGTTTACATTTTACTTCTTTATTTTGCTTTCAAGCAACGTGGTTTCTATCCAGTCTCAATTTTCTGAAGTCCTTGGTTTCTGTTTTTGATCATTCCTTTCCTTAGGAGACGAGTTTCCTAAGGGCGCGAGTCCAGCAAGTTCAGGTCCCCTTAGGTGACGCAGCTAGGCCAAGTCACCTCCTGACCTCCCAGCTACCTCTCATGTGGCAACTCTACCCTGAGGAGCGCTACATGGATAACAACTCTCGCTTGTGGCAGATACAGCATCATTTAATGGTATACATTTTGTTTAACAATTTTTCATTGTGCTGGGACTCTTGTAAGAGTCCTCTAGAAACTTCTCTTTCTGACAGGTCAGGGGAGTACAGGAGCTGTTGCTTAAGCTTTTGCCTGATGATTAACCTGGTACGTATTTCTATTTCTTCCCAGCCCACCTCCTTTCTTTTTTACTATATTTGGTTGTGGTGATTTTAATGATTTATTTTTTTTCCAGGTGCTGGGATTCTAGGAAGATATGCTCCTTTGTTCTGTTCAGTATATGGCAATCACTTCATCCACCACTGCAGTGCACCCACCCTTGGGCCTGGGGGAGGGAGTGGGTTGAAAAACTGTTCAAGAAAGTTTAGGAAGGGTCATGAAGAATACTGCAAGTGAAACTGCAGAAACAGGGTTATGCAGGCAGAAAGCAAGTTAACAAAAACATTTAGTCAGGATCCGGTAACTTGAAATTGACTTCTTTGGAAATTGCCATAGAACCTTTAATGGACATCATCGGCTGGAACTGGGATCTGATGAATCCCACAAAAGTCAGCACCTGCCAGAGAACAGATGCCCTGACCACCAAGGACTTGGTACTGATTTAGAGAAGAGAGCAGCTCCTAGCAGCATCAACATCTATTTGTTGCTTATTTGCCCTGCAACAATTCACCTGCCTTTCCTTCTCCCGTCCTGTAAATATCCTAGGTTTTGCTCCAGTGTTTCCCATCCCAGTACTGACCTAACTTGGATCTACTGAGAACTTAAGGGGCTCTGAAAAAAAAAAAAGAGAAAGAGTAGTCACACTGATAAAAATAGCTACAGAGGCTCCTGGGCCTTTTTCCTTCCTGAAATTGTGTCTTCCAATTATTAGAAGTTGCTGATCAAAATCATGGGAACTTAAACTCATTTTCTGGTTAGATACGTTAAATAGGCTGGTTTGTGCAAGAGCTCCGAACAATATTTTAGCTGCTTTTAACTGGCACCTTTCTCAGGAAATAATAATAGCACCAAATATTGCTGACTCCTAGGAAAGCATTTCCTGAATTGAAGTAGTCATAATAGTTTATATACACTGAAAGTAAGGTTTCACTTTTTAAAAACTCTTGGGAATAATAGCTACCATTTATTGAGTCCTTGCTGCCTTCCAGGCACTATTCTAAGCACTTTATATCCTTTATCACATTTAATCCTTTCATCAATGCTTTGAGGTAGGTATGGTCCCATTTTACACAGAAGTAATGAGGAAAAAGGCTCAAGGAGTTTAATAATTTACCAAGGGTTCCGCTGTGAGTCATAGAGCCGGACTGCAAAGTCCTCCTGAGTGCAGAGTGTCACACTGCTTGGGGCTCTTTTAGCCCAACATGGGTTTACAATGTTAAAGACAAGTTGACTGAATTCAAGCTGTTTTTTCCATGTAAAGCTATTTATATCTCCCAGATCTAATGAAATGGATATTATAAAAATATAGTCGATTCATCCTATGAATGGGAAGAGTTTTTTTTTTTTTAGTGTAATTATTTTCCAGGAATTGTAAGGGTGTACTGCTTGTCTCAGAAGAAAATTCCATGTAGAGGGACTTTAAAATCTTTATAGGGAAAAAAAGCAAAATAAAAATCATTTTTCTTGTTTTAGTTTTCTGGATATGCCACAGAAGGATCCGTGCCAGAAACAAGCCTGTGAAATACAGAAATGTTTACAAGGTAGTATGTACAATGCTTTTTTGTATGTTTCCAATTTATCTGTGAACTAACTACAAGAGATCAGTGGTTATTTTATCAGCAACCAGTATTAACTCCTCTCTCAGAATGTAATATTTCTGTAATTAATTCATCCTGAAGATTTTTCTCATTGTATCATCAGAAAGATGCAGAAAATAAAAACTGATGTGATCTAAGCCAGGGGTTTGAAATCCTGGTTGTACATTAGAATCACCTGGAGAGCTTTAAACACTTGCCTAGAAGAATTAAATCAGACTTCCTGGAGGGCAGTCTGGGCATGAATCGTTTTAGCAAGCCAACCAGGTGATCTTAATGCGCAGCCAGTGCTGAGAACCACGGAGCTAAGCAAAGTCACTTTTTAAAAGGACTAGTTTTAATGGGTTGGTTATACTTCACTGCGGCTGACAAGTCACTTTTTAAAAGCAATCGGGTAGAAGGAGGTTTGCAAATACAATTGGAATTCAGCAACTAACCTTTAAGGGGAAAATGAATTTCAGCTAAAAAGCATGTTTGATGTGATTTGCCCATTTAGTTTTAAATCAGCTGCTAATTTTGATCAAAGGTTAGAGGATTTTATTTTTTTAGTCAGCAAATGATTACTGGCAGAAAAACAAATAGAAAAAGCAATGAAGCTGTCTGAATTTGAAAATTGGATTTTTGATAATTTTTTCCATTAATAAATGAAGATGAACGCTCATGAAAATACAGAAAGTTGGGAAGAAAGAATGTTCAAAGTTCCCCCAAAGACCCACCACCAAAGAAAACCATTCTTTGTGTATTTCCTTTGACTGTTAACTTTCATTCTCAGACTTTGCATTTTATGATATAAGCAATATTTTATAAAATCTTTTAGATGAATCTAAAATGTTAATGTACAATAATGCTATTTTAGTCATCCTTGTCTTCCTCCAACTTTGAGAAGGAAAAATGTTTTTCACATTTAATTTCTTCTACCCAATAAATTGTTACCTGATTTGAAATAGAAAACCCTGGTGCCGCAGTGGTTAAGTGCTATGGCTGTTAACCAAGAGGTCAGCAGTTCGAATCCACCAGGCATTGCTTGGAAACCCTATGGGGGGCAGTTCTACTCTGTCCTACGGGGTCGCTATGAGTCGGCATCGACTTGACAGCAATGCGGGATTTGAAATAGCAACCCACGGCCAAGAGAGAATAAGAATCAAGTTCAAAAGAGCTGTAAGGGCTTTAAACATATTAAGTCATTTAATCCTTTATAATCGATGAGATGCTACTATGACCACATTTGAAAAAGATGAGAAAACAGGCACAGACGTTCTCTACCTTGCTTGGGGTTACATAACTCATAAGTGCTACAGTGGGAATCTGAACCAGATCTTAACCAACTTAATCTTTCCGGTCCGAATAATCTTGGGGTTACATAACTCATAAGTGCTACAATGGGAATCTGAACCAGACTCTTAACCGACTTAATCTTTCCAGTCCGAATAATCTTTTCTATCCCGGACTAACTAATCTGCATTCATTTCAGTACTGGGGGACTCAAGACTCAGGAGCCATCAACTGCAGCTGACCTAGAATCTTAGGTCAAGTCCTCCTTAATTTAGGGTATAGTAGAGGTCAGCAAATGTTTTCTTTAAAATGCCAGATGGGACATATTTTAGGCTTTGGAGGTCAAAAGTTCTGTTGCATATTGTGTCTGTATGCTTACACAAAATCTTTTAAACGTGTAAAAACCATTCTTAGCCCACAAGCCGTAGAAAAAGAAAAAAAAAGGCCAAATTTGGCCCTCAGGCTGCAGTTTGCAGAATTGGTAGAGGACCACCTTAAATTGTACGCAAAATAATGTGTGGGGTACATGCATTTTTCTAATTCATCGAATTAACAGAAGGGTTAGTGACCAAAAAAGGTTAAAAACTACTGCCCAAGAACAAAGGTACTTAAGCCATTAACTCAACCTTAAAAGGAAAGTACCTTTTGACCACTTTGTAAATCATGGTTTTCTCCCTCATTAACTGTTGACGAGTCTCTAACTCAGAAAGCATTCAGTGGACTTGCTTCCCGTTTTCTCAGTCTACAATAAAGTGGAAAGGGTTGGGCAGCACTGCCCTAAAATCCCTGGAGCTTAGTCCCATGAGACCATGACCAGGGTATGCCCGTCTGTTTTTCAGCCAACAACTACATGGAATCTAAATGTCAGGCTGTCATCCAAGAACTGCGTAAGTGTTGTGCTCAGTATCCCAAGGGAAGATCTGTCGTCTGTTCTGGATTTGAAAAAGAAGAAGAAGAAAAGCCGACACTAAAGTCTGAATCAAAGTAAAGTTCTGCTGAGAAGCTAAATGCTGCTCCACGTTTACACCAAGTTCTGTTTCTCCTCCTGACTCTTTCTTCAGGCCAGGTAGCAGCAAAAAACACATGCAAAAGTCAACTATAAAAGTTACTGAATGTGGCATCTATGTAGAACAGACAATATATTAAAATAAAAATGTAGAATGTAATAAAAAAAAAATACAAAGAATGTAATAAAACAGAGCTGCTAAAATAAACTTGTTTTAAGTGAAACATTTTGGTTTGGTACTAAATACATTTCTTCAGCCTATTAGATATGGGTGTTGATGACTTATCTTTAGCATCTGAGTTCAGACTGCTAGTGCCATTCATAAAGTCGCATGAGGAACGTTAGGTGAGAGAACTCCCACCTCCAGCATCACCATCATGTAAATCCTTCATAGATACAGTGCTAAATTAATTCAAAGGTTCCTCTAACTTAACTAAGTTATCTATTGTACTTCTGCTCATTCAGAGCATCTTGCAAGTTGTAGTTTCTTTAGATACACTGAATCAGAAGCTACAGTTTAACAAGATCCTCAGGTGACTCTTAGGTCAATCTACACTTTAACAAGAGCCCCCAGATGATTCTTATGTATAAATACATAATCAGTATATCGGGTGGAAATGCAAATTCTCAACAGGGGGCCAAACCAGAACAAACTGGTTCTGTAGATTGATCCAGAAATCTACAGATTAACAACATCTTCTTAAACTGTACATTCTGACGTAAGAATCACCTGGGGTCTTGTTAAACTAGATTCTGATTCAGTATATCTGGTAGAAAGGCCAATTCTCACCAGGGGGTCAAACCAGAATGATTTTTTTTTTTTTACTTTTAATGATCCCTAATTTATCATGAGGGAAATAAATAATTCACTTGAAGTCAGGCAGGCAGCAACAGAATTCGAATTCTTGGGTGGTTTATATACTTTCTACCCTTGTAATCAAAGCCCGTTATAGTGAATCCTGGTGACTTTCATCGTATGAGGCTGCTGAAGGAAGCTGTTGACAGTTGTCATCACTTTAGGGGGTAGAGACCATTTATTTTCTTCAAATAGGTGCTAGACCCTCTACCCACCTCCCACCACCCCCCAGAAGAAAGATGACTTTCTAAGCAAGAGTAGGAACAAATTCTGATAGGTCCCTGATGTTCAAATACTACTATTATTTGAGACCAACTGTTCTTTAAAGCAGTATTCCCCACAGGGTTTCTAGGAATTGTTATAACATGAAAAAGGGCTTCTGTGGTCAAATAAGTCTGGGGAATGCTAGTTTAGACAAAAGGAAACAAGTTTCTTTCCTGTAAGTCTTCACAGCTTTTCATATACTAATGTGAACTATGAGTCTTCAGAAAGGACTACCATATGCAGAACTTGCCGGAGTGTCCCAGTGACCCCATTTTGCGGACAGCCTCTCTCAGGGCAAATGTTCTCCTGACAGACTTGGACCACAGACGATAACCAAAACCAAAGCAGCTACTCATGGTGACCCACACGGATCAGAGTAGAACTGTGCTCCATAGGGTTCTCAATGGCTGATTTTTAAGACATAGATCTCCCGGCCCTTCTTCTGAGGTGCCTCTGGGTGGACTCGAGCCACCAACCTTTCTGTTAGCCGCTGAGTGCTTAACTGCACCACCCAGGGACTCCTCAGACGAGGATAACGGCACCGAATTCCCATGAAATTTAAATGAATTCTCATGTAATAGTAAAGCAACAACTGAATAAAACATTTTACATCATACACAAATGACAAAACATTTTATCAATTCAGAGTGGTGCTAGGGTTTAGGAATAACCACATGATCACGTTTGCTTTTTCTGGTGCTCTATTAAATTCTCTGTACTAACTAAACTTTCAGACTGCGTTTTAGTCTTTTTATAAAACTATTTTGCGCTTTTAAAGCTTCAAAATCCATTGTTTCTTATCTTTAAACTCACACGTTTCAGTTTCATTGGCAGACACTGATTTAAATCTCATTCTCCTTAGCTATTATTATGTCCCATAGAAAAATAAAAGTCATCAGAGAAGGCTTACCATTTACCAAGTGCGTTTTATGTGTTAGGAGCCGTGATTAGCACTTAATCTCGAGCTTCAGGAAACAACTCTATGCAGGTGAGAACCATTATCTCTTCCCTTGTTTCAGTGATGAAAAAGCTGACAGAGTAATATAGCCAAGATTGCGCTGCTTAGAAATTGCACAGCTAGGCCTCAAAGCCAGATTCTGTCCACTCCAAAGCCCCTCAATTTATTCTGAAAAAATTCCAACCTACATTTACGGTTTTCCCACATTTGCTTCATCTCTTTGAATTTTTTTTCTGAATCTTTTGAAAGACATGACTGAGAAAGTTAACAATCCCATAATACCATCCGATATCTAGTCCATATTCAAATTTCCCAAATTTCCCAACTGTTAGAAATATGTCTATTAGGTGTGATAATGATATTGGGTTTATGTAAGCCAATGCCCTTATTAGGAGCTGTCTGTGGAAATATTTAGGAGTGTCTCAGCCCACATTCTGGATTTGTCTAATTGTTTCCCCCAGGAACTTGGTTATTTCCTGTAAACTGGTAATTAGGTCTAGAAACTGGATTAAATTCAAGATAAACTTTTTTTTTCCTTCTCGAATACTTCCTAGTTATTGCTTCGTCATTATACAGCATCCCATCAGGATGTACAAACTTTTAGGGTGTCTCAGTGTCGCTGACAGATGACAAAAGCCCTCTCCTTTCCTTGCATCCGGTCCACGCAATTCCTAAAACACTTCAGAAAGCCTTAATATTAAAGCTGGAGTCCCTGGGTGGCACAAACGGTTAAGCACTCAACTACTAGCCGAAAGGGTGGAAGTTCAAACCCACCCAGCAGCACTGCGGAAGAAAGGCCTGGCAATCTGCTTCCGTAAAGATTACGGCCATTGAAAACCCTATGGAAGGAACAGCTCTACTCTGGATACATGGGGTCACCATGGTAACTTTTTTTTTTTAATATTAAAGCTATGTTCAGTTTCCAGAAGGCATTTGAAGTTGTATGGCAGTTTACTTTAAAAGGCATACAAATGACCTTGTTAACCACAGAACTGTTGTTTTATTAGCACCGGTCTCCAACTCTGTACTCAGGGTAGTTCTACTCTGTCACGTGGGGTCGCTATGAGTCGAAATCGACTCGATGGCACCTAACACCAACAATAATAATATAAACACTTTATTAGCAAAGCACAGAATAGAGAGAGGGTTTCAAGGGTGAAGAGGCTTCTGCTGCGTAAAGTGTTGCAGAGGGGAGAAGGATGAGGAAATAGAAAATTGGCAAAAAAGCGAAGTAGAGAGGGCAGCAATCCAATTTGCCTACAGAAGAAACTGAGATCAAAATGAAACATTAATGAGACGCAGACACTTCAAATCCATCACACTACCATTTTTTCAACTAGAGATTTATTTTGTTTGCCCAAGTTGCAGAAAAGCAATTTTAAATAAGAGCCCAACCACTATTGTGCCCATCTTTCCAGCAAATGTCAAACACAGGGATGAGACAGAACGTTTTGATAATAGTTAACTACACAGTAACTCTGCCTTTCAAAACCCACCAGTACCCGCCCCAAGCGTATGTTCAATGAGGTAGAATTATGTAAGAGTTCATTCCTTCTGGAATACTGTCCTCCAACTTTAACCAAGTCTCCTGTCTTCTGCCAGCAGCCAGGAAACATTAACAGGCATGTCAGTAAGAAAGCCAGCTCCTGAGACTTGGTGATGAGAAAAAGGACAAAGCCCAGGTTAGGGGTATGAGAGACCCATGGTAAGGCAGCAAGGCTCGCACCTAAGTGCCAGGCCAGACGGTGAAGGAAAGAGCCCAATACCCTGTTTAGAGGCTAAACGGTGAGGAGATGTGTGTTAACATGCTATCATGACAATGACAGTGTAAGCAAAGACACACTGGAAGTGCATCTGCGGAGCCGGAGCTGGCAACTGCTCAGAATTGAAAGTCGCGCCCTGACTCATCTCCCCTCCCCTGACGTCAAAGGAGCTTCAGCTCAAACTTTACAGCTCTGCCTCACCCCGTCCCATCGCGGGAAGGCACTGGGTCGAAAGGTGGCCCAAAGTGCGAAGCCACGTGGCCTGCGAGGGGCCAGAAGTGAGCCTCCCAAGTGCCCCAGCCACCCCACCGCGCTGTCCCGCTGCCCTTCACTCTCCGGGAGCCCTGCCCAGGGATGACACAACTTCCCGCAGCTGTTTTACCCGTTCTGGCGCAGGAACAGAAAAGGAAAGCACCTAAATTCGCCTGACAGAGCAAACTTCGCAGTGAGGAAAAAACAGTTCGTGACCCTGGAGGACAAACTCCCTGCCACTTCCCACCAGAGGGTGGGTCAGGATTTAGCACGAGGGCCTCTGCCCTCTGAGGCCCATAGTTGGCAGGTCAGCAGCTCCGAGCGCAGTGTTATCACTCCTCCGCCAGCAGGGGGCACCGATGAACCCCGAACAAATTGCGGGGCCTGCTCACTTCATCACGTTTCTTGCGACTCTGTAGATAATTCACGACGCCTAACCCCTCCATCTGCCAAGGAAACAATTGCAGCACCCAAAGCAAAGCTGCTGGCTCCCGGGGACCCTCCACTCAGCAGCTGAAACTCAACAGTGACCAAAACCGAAAGGGGCCATGGTTGCCTTGTGCTGCTGTTCCCGTCTAACGAACTCCAGCCCCACCATCATGGCCATTTCAGTGCCGTACGAGACAAATGGAGTGACTTGGTCCCAGCCTCTGTTGGTCAGACTGATCCGTGGCTGATGGAGCAGCACGCTCAAGTAAAAATGCGAGTTTGGCCCAAAACGGGTCACGAAGAGGGGTGGATTGTTGGGAGATGCAGTCTACACTGGCCCTGATCACTCTATACCTGGGCCATTTCTAAGGGTTGTATTTGTGGCAAGCAACCTTGAGAGATAGGGTAACATCTCCCCCTAAACAAAAGAGCAGGCTTGTTACTGTTCACTATAAAAGCAGCAAATCACCCAAGCTCAACATTCCTCTCCTGTAATACGGTCCACTTTGTGCCCAGGCGTCAATGAGGGGCCCTTTGTGTCACCCCTCTGGGACCTGGGTGGCACAAGGACTGGCAAAAACCAACATGAAGCTCTGACTGTTTTTGTCATGAGCGATCAAGTCCTTTGTCTTCTGCCAGCACCCATGGAACAGTAACTGGCTAGCCTGTTAGCTTCTTGGCAGGATGCAATCCAGACCCTGTGTACGGTTCTTGATATACATTAAATATGTTTAATCCTTGAGTTCATGATGACACATACACCCACACTCACCTACACACACCTCATTGGTCACCTTTGGAGGCTGCTAGGGAAACAACTCAATCAGAAACTGGTAAAAAAGGTAAGAACTAAGCATTTAACCTGCCTTTCCTGTACAAACCATACCTCAAGGTAACCAAATAAGGAAATTTCCCTAAGAAGCATTTGAGCTAATAAATGAAGAATGACAAAATACTACCATTTTTCAAACCCCTAATGACAGAATGGATCTAGGCAGTGATCATCAATGGCCACTAATACCACAAAGAGACCAACAAGACATAAACATCCCAGTGGAGGAACACAGCACCATCTATGAAGGACTCTTGCCAAAAAATGATAAAAATACCACAGGGATACAATCAGCAAAATCCAGAATGTGGAAAACTAGGGAAATGACTCAGGTTTTTCAATAAATACATTGCAAACCCCCCCCCCAAAAAAAGGGGGTGGGGTGGGGGGGAACTATAACATTAAGAGAGACAGAGACATACCATCTGAATGCAAACGTGTGAGTGTGGTGGACCTCATGTGAAATTTTGAACACTGACTGTATATCTAGAGATATTAAGGAATTGTTAACTTTTTTGGTGTGATAATATGGTATTGTATTTGTTACTTTTAAAAAGAGTTCTTACCTTTTAGAGATACATACTGAAATACCTGTAGATTAAGCAATACATTTGCTATTAATTTAAAAATAACTGATAAAACAGGCATGGCTATGATTTGGTGATTGCTATAAGTGGGTGCTGGATACATGGGGGTTCATTGTACTATTTTCTCTACTGTTGTATATGATCAAAAGTTTCCGTAATAAAAAACAAAACTATTTTTATGTTCTTGTAGAAAAACATGAAGCAAAGAGATTCATACTATTATGATTTAAGGATGGTTCATAGGTTGCCTTAAAATAGTGCTGTTACGTAATAAGTTCCACACATGCACTGGTAGTTTCAGTTTTCACACTCAGTGTATCATTCCCAAGACACAAGACAGGTGAAAAGGCAAACATTCTAAACTTAAGGACTGAGAGACCCACATATGTTTCACAAGGGATAACCTGCAAGGTTAAGAATTAATTTCCAGTGAAACTAACCTTTAATAGTTTTCTGCATTCTCAGAACTGATAAAGTCTCAAATAATTCTCTGGATCAGCACCTTTCCCAGATACCTTTCTATGAGGTCATTATTCAGATATTCAACAAATATTGAACACCTATTAAGTGCTAGGCCCTGTGGATATAACGGTAAAGATGACACAAGCCTTGCCCTCAGGAAGCTAAGTGTATGTGCATCTGTGTGGAAATTTTTATTTTAAAAAAATTCTAAGAGTTGGGATCATCAGGAGACAGATTATATCTGATGATGGAAATAATTTCCTATGTGCTATCCTTTTCAATTCTGAATGACTTGAATGCTACTTCTCAAAAAAATATGGCTCAAATGTTAAACCTCCTACTGATTGGAATTGGTACTGAGGAGCTATGACTATCCCCTAATGCTCTGACAAACGGGAAATAATACTTTAAATTTCAAAGCTGAAATTAAATCTTTTCTACGAAATAAAAATCTGCGAGCTCCTTCCCAGCCCCACCTAAACTCACTTGTTTACCATTAATATACCATTTTGAAACAGTCATGGAGTTCATTATCATGTATGCTGCAAAATATCCTGTGACAATATCTTGATGTACCCACATGATTCCCTAGGTCAGGCCATTCCGTGATGTGGAACCATTGGTCTCCCTAAAGACTGTCCCACCAGATATAATCACTTCACAGGTTCATTCTGTATTCAAAATTTTTCAATTATAATGTTTATGCAGTCATTTCTGTCAGGATAACAGTAACAGGTATGAACAGCTCTTTCTGTAGTATGAAACCAACTAAAGAAGTAAGCAGACACCAAGATAGCAAAATATTTGATGCTTAAAGCCAAATGTATTCAGTTCTTTCCATGCAGCACATAATAACAAGGTATCTACGTGCTTGCTATTTCTTTTTCAAATCAACAGTATGGGGTAACATTTGAGGATCCACTCATCCTCCTCGGTGAGCCATCTTGCATCTTACGTAGGGAAAAGAAACATTCTTGTTGACCTACACACTAGCCAGTGGGGGGCGGGCTGGGAGAAGAACGTAATGTCTATTGCCTCCTTCATCATCAGCAAGTTCAAGTTAGGTCCATACTAAGTTAACTTGTCCCAACAGAAAGCTATTCGGATCTGCCAGTGCAAGGAGGAAGGCACAGGAGAACAGGAAGATGAGGACAGACTCAATGTCCTATGACGAAGCGTAGAGGCTTCTGGTTGGAAAAACACAACTAACACATTCTGATGAATGAAAGAAAAACAACCTAGAAACAATGGAAGTGAAGTTGTCCGCCTTAGGATGCCATGCCCAGCAGAAAGCCTCCAAAAAATCCCCCAGTCACAAGGACGTTCTTCTTCACAAATGATACCACCTGCAAACAGAAGACAGCACACTGGATTATTTTGCTAAGGATATGAATATTAGGAAGCACTTATACTCACTAAACCAGAATTAACAACTTTAACTCTCTAACCTGTAGGCTATGTCAAGGAGTTTGTACATTACCCAAAGGGATTCTGTGACTAGATGGGGGACAAGGAGAAGTCAAGGGTATTGCCTAAGATCTTGTCTTTAATAATGCTGTTTACTGAGCTAAGGGATCTACCTGAAATTGAATCCAGTCTCCTGTAGCTTCAGCTACTCCCTCCACACTTGCTCCTTCACATCAGCATTGAAACCCACTCAAGTCTCCCATCCGAAAAAAGCAAACAAGCAAGCAAAGAACTCATTCACCTCTCACTCTGACCTTACTTATACAACCTTCCAGATACCTTCCTCTTTCTCTTTCCCCTTTCCCTGACAAACTTCCAGAAATAACTGCTGTTGTTCAGTATCTTTACTTTCTTTCTTCATACTCATTCCTCAAATTGCTAGTTTGGCTTTCAACTCCACTATCCCAGCTAAAACTGCTCTCACCAAAGTCACCAATGACTTCCTTCTTTCCAGGTACTGAACTTAATGGTTTCCTCTCCTCCTCTGTCCCCAAACTTGCCCTTCTTCTTCAGAGACTATTCACTTGATTGTGGTAAATGTCATTTACCCAGTTACCCAAATCAGAAACCTAGGGGTCCTCCTTGCCAACTCCCTGTCCCTCACCCCTCCTTATCTGGTCTCAATGTTTAAGTCCTATCCATGCTACCAACATGCTGGCAAAGAATATGGAATATACCATGGACTGCCAAAAGAACGAACAGGTTTGTCTTGGAAGAAGTACAGCCAGAATGCTCCTAAGAACCGAACACGGTGAGACTATGTCTCACATACTTTGGACATGTTATCAGGAAGGACCAGTCCCTGGAGAAGGACATAATGCCTGGTAAAGTAGAGGGTCAGTGAAAGAGGAAGATCCTCATGGAAATGGATTGACACAGTGGTTGCAACAATGGGCTCAAGCATAATAATGACTGTGAGGATGGCGCAGGGCAGTGTTTCGTTCTGTTGTGCACTGTGTCGCTACGAGTTGGAACTGGCTCAACGACACCTAACAACAACAAGAACATGCTATCAACAAAATATCAGCCATATCCTTTCCTCCTTACTGCTATTACCTTTGTTTAGGCCCCTAAAATATTTTCTAAGTGACTGATTACCAAGTCTCCAAAATGATCTCTCTGCCCTAGTCTTCCTTACTCAGATCTCCCTTAAGTCATAAGCCTTCAGGTTCTTGTTCCTGACTAAAAGACCAGATTGTTCCTCTGCACTACTCACCCTCTAGACATCCCCTCCTCCATACAAATGTCCCTAAGTTCCTGAGGTTGGGCTAAGTGTCCCCCCAAGGTGCACACATTGGCAACTTGTATGTATCCTTCTCAGACCATTAGCTACCCTATGTTCTAATTACTGACTAGCTGTTCCCCAAATTGGGCTGTGGGCTCTTTGAGGGGAGTAACCACCCACTGTCACCCTCAGGCTTGTGACATTGCTAGGCTAATAACAGGAACACAAATATTTGTTGAATGAACAATTCTAACTCTTCTGGTTGGTTTATAACCTTGACGCGAGCATGTCAAGACCAAGCCTTAAGAGCCACTCAGTGCATGAGAACCAGGAGGGGCTATAGAGTATTTCTCTTCACTCAATCAGTCCCTTTCCCTTGTGAATTCATAGGGAGCTAACAGCAGAGCACCATCATCCTGTCCATAGCTGACTCCTCTAGTTTATTTCTCCAGAGTTCAGTGCACTGGAGGTTATTTTTTTGGGACATTTGCCATATTTCTAATGGTAACAAAGAAGTAAATAGCAAAATATATACTTTTCCTGTCCCTCCATCAAAGTGTCCCTAAATTCCCCCAAATAACCTAACCTGGCTTTATACACTAGACCAGGGGTCACAAACTACAGTCTGTGGGCCAAATCCAGCCTGCTGCCTGTTTTTTCCGGTAAGGTTTTATTGGAACACTTCCTGAGATACTGGCATGTCTACCCCATTTTTACACAAACAGAACTGTCTGCATTCTCCACACTGCACATGAAGAAAGAAGCCTCACCTCCTCGGCTTTGCTCTTGACTTCAGTAGGTATCTGGTTGCTCTTACGGATTTTCAGCTGTTCCTTGGCTTTCTTCATATCCTTCTCCACTCGCTGCCAATCAACCTTGATGTAGCCAGTATGGTTTGCAAGCTACAGTTTCAAAATAAAATGACAAGAAATGAGAAACACAGACTTGCTATTTCTTTTTGTCAGGATAAATCACTGAAATAGACTGTCAAAACCCTTCTGACTTTCCAATTTTAGAAGCATTTACCATCAAACTTTTTGTATAAAAATTTGGCCTTCGATGACTGCTGGCAGTTTTTTTGTTTTTTTTTTTTTTACCTTATGTATACCCTATATAACCACCCCAACAGACTTTTAGGTTAGTGTAAAACAATAAAATGAAAATCGGAGGAGGTGGTCAAGACGTAAGGGGAACAAGCAGACCTCAAAGCCAACACAGGATTTTCTAATGTGGTCACTGAGGAGTGAAAGTGGCTCTGAGTGTCTGAGCGACTTCATATAAGGGGTACTAGGAGAGGCAATGGAAAACACATTTAAACATACCCTTGATAAAAGCAGAGGACACAGCATTAAAACTCAGTGAAAACAATCTCATCAAGGAAGAGTGAAAAGGATACAACTGATTCAAGTATGTGGTTCTCTGACAGATTAGCATCATTCAAGAAATGAATAGAATGATTACAGCCCTCCCCATCAACATCACTGATGGTCAAGAAACTCAGACAACTGTTCACGGAGGCAGTTAGCCACACATTCCATATCCTCCTCCTATTCCTGATGCTCCTTCTTCCTCTGTTGCTCCAGATGAATAGAGACCAATTGTTGTGCCTTGGATGGCCACTTGCAAGCTTTTGAGACCCCAGGCACTACACAACAAACTAGGAGGTAGGACAGAAGCACTGAACACGTTATTAGGCCAATTAACTGAGATGTCCCATGAAACCATGACCCTAAACCTTCAAACCAAGGAACCAAATTCCAAGAGATGTTTGGCTGTATATAAGCAGCCTCAGCAGCTACTCTTTTTCTTTTTTTGTCATTGTTATAACTATATTCCACAATTTCTGCCAATTCAGCTTTCTATAGGTAAACAACTTGCTGACAGTACTCACAATAATTGGCTATGTCAGTATAGCCTTTTTACAGAGGAATTTTTGGCAGCTCCTCTCACAGCAGCTTTCTTTATAATAGGCCAAGGCTGAAAGTAACCCAAATGTCCATCAACACATGAATGAAAAATGAATTGTGTCATATTTACACAATGAAATATTACTCAGAAATAAAAAGAGCAAACTACTTATAGCAGCAACATAGCTGAATCTCCAAAACTGTATACTTAAATGAAGGTTCCAGTTGCAGGTAAAACTGATTAGGAATATTCCATCCTGTCTCTCCCACAGAACAGATCAAGAGTAAATAGCTGCAGGTAGATTGGAGACATCCAGAATTCCAGTGAGCTTGCCCACTTTTCCTCTGTTATTACCTAGCCTAGACTCAAGTCATCCCAGAAAAACATTTGACAAAATCCAATATCCACTCATAATAAAAACTTAGAAAAATAAGAACAGAGGGGAACTTCCTCAACTTGATAAAAGACATCTGCAAAAAACTTACAGCTGACATTGTACTTCATGGTGAGAGACTGAAAGCTTTCCCCCTAAGATGGGGAACAAGGCAAAGATGCCTTCTCTCCACTCCTATTCAACACGGTATTGGAAGTCATAGTGCAATAAGGCAAGAAAAAGAAATAGGAGGTATACAGACTGAAAAGGAAGAAATACAACTGTTCTTATTTGCAGACATTTGTCTATACAGAAAATGTCAAGGGATCAAAAAAACAAACAGAAGACCCCAGACCTAAAAAATTTATCAAAGTCACAGAATACAAGGTCAACACACAAAATCAATCGTTATTTCCAAATAGTAGCAATCTGAACTGGAAATGCAAAATTAAAAAAAAATGTCTTCCAATAGCCACAAAAAAATGAAATTCTAGGTAGACATCTAACAAAAACATATACATGATCTGTATACTTATACTGAAAACTAAAAATGCTGAAGAAATCAGAGAAGACATAAATAAGTGGAAAGACCTGTTGTGTTCACGGATTAGAAGACTAACATAGAAAAGATGTCCAATTCTCTCCAAAATGATCTACAGATTAATTGCAATCCCAATCAAAATCTCAGTAGGATTTTTTTTTTTACAGTAAAATTGATGTGAAAAGACAAAGGAACTAGCACAGCCAAAACAATTCTGAAAAAGAAGAACAAAGTTGGAGGAATCAACAATACCTGATTTTTAGATTTACAATAATGCTACTACAATAATCAAGACAGTGTGGTATTGGAGAAGGGACACCAACATAAATTAATGGAACAGAATACACAGAATAAAAAGATCCATACAAGTAACAACAAGCTTTTTTTAAAAAAAAAAAAAGGTGCAAAAGCAATTCAATGCATAAAAGAGAGTCTTTTCACCAAATGGTATTAGAACAATTCCACAGCCATATACAAAAAACAAACAAAAACCTCAATCTAAACCACACCTCTAATATAAAAATTAACTACAAATGGATCATAGATCTAAAATTGAAAACTGTCTTAGTTATCTAGTGCTACTATAACAGAAATACCACAGTAGATGACTTTAACAAAGAGAAATTTATCCTCTCACAGTCTAGGAGGCTAGAAGTCCAAATTCAGGGCACCAGCTCCAGAGGATGGCTCTCTCTCTCTTGGCTCTGCAGGTAGATCCTTGTCATCAATCTTCCCTTGGTCTAAGAGCTTCTCAGCACAGGGACCCTGGATCCAAAGGACACGCTCCCCTCGTTTTTCACTCTTGGTGGTAGGAGGTCCCCCTGTCTCTTTGCTGGCTTCTCTCTTATATCTCAAAAGAGACTGACTCAAGATACAACCTAATCTTGTAGATTTGAGTCCTGCCTCATTATCATAGCTGTCTCTAATCCTGCTTCATTAACATCACAGAGGTAGAATTTATAACACATAGGAAAATTACATCGGATCACAAAATGGTGGAACATCACACAATACTGGGAATCATGGCCTAGCCAAGTTGACACACATTTTTGGGGGACACAATTCAATCCATAACAAAATCTAAAACCATGAAACTTTTGTAGAAATCATGGAAGAAATACTTCAAGACCTGAGATAAGGTAAAGTGACACCAAAGTAGTATAACTATTTAAGAAACTAACTGAACTCCATCAAAATTAACAACTTAGCTCTGCAAAAGAATGTGTTCAGAGAATGAAGACAATGTAAAGACTGACAGAAAATCTAAGCAAATCACATATTTAACCAAGGACTTGAATCTAGAATATATAAAGAACTCCTGTAACTCAACAACTCTTACAAGACAAACCCAATTTAAACAACAAAGACCTGAACAGACATGTCACCAAGCACATGAAAAGATAATCAGCAGCATTAGCTGTATCATCCTGAGTGCAGTCAGAAGACAGAACTAATAAATTGATACATGAATAATCATAACATGCAAGAGTACTCTAATATGTAACCTAGGGCTGAGCATACAGATTGAGAAAAGAACGTATTATTTCAACAAGGTACCAAAAACATTCTTAAAAAAAACTCACCATTCTTAGTAAGCTAAAAATAACAGTTAACTTTCTATACCTGATAAAAAGTTATTTATCAAAGCATTCAGCAATCATTATTCTTAGTGAGAAAATTTAAAATCAAGAAGAAGACAAGTGTGGTGTCTATCACTCCTTCTATTCAACACTCTACTGGAGTTCTTAGCCAGCACAGCAGCATCAGAAAAAGAAATTAAAGCATAAGAAGTAAAAAGGAAAAAAAGTCATTGTTCACAGATGATATGGTTTTATAGAAAAAAGCCCAAAAGAATTCCAAATTATTAGAAATAAAAGGTAGATGGCTAACAGAGCAATACAAAATTATCAACTGCACTTCAACATACCTGCATGAGTTAGAATGCATAGTTTTAAAAAATGGAATCATCCATAGTAGCAACTAAAGCTATAAGGTATCTAGGAATAAAATTAAACAACAGATGTACGAGATCTATATGGAGAAAAGAATAAAGATCTACTCAAAGACCTTAAAGAAAACCTAAATAAATGGAGACACCATATTCACAGAGAACTCAATAACCTAAAAGATATTAGTTCTTCCCAAATTTATCTATATGGTTTCAGTGCAATTCCAATCAAAATTTCAACACAAATTTTAAAAAGTAAATGACAAGCCTATTCTAAAATTTAGATGGATGAGCAAAAGTACAAAAATAGCCACAGCACTCCTAAAGAATAAGGTGGAGGAACTTGCCTTACCAAATATCAAGGCTTATTATAAAAGCATTGACATAAAAATAAAAAGTTGACCAGTGGAACAGAATAGAGAAACTAAAATTAGATCCATATATACAGGGATTTTTATCTCTGGAAAAAACAACACTGTGAATTATTGGAAAAAGGAAGAATTATTTAATAAACGTGGCTGGGACAACTATTGGTACGGAAAACAAACTAGATCCCCATGTCAGAGTATGACCCCTGATCTCCCTACATCGTGCCTGCCCTTCCCTGCCCTCACGCCTCTGGTGACAGGTAATCTGAGTGATCGGTCTGCCCCTGCACATCACAGACTCCCCATGTCCCACCTCCCCTGGCAAGGAAGTATCCCTGCAGTCCTTGAATATATGACCCATGCAATACTAGAATCCCATTTTGAGGGTTTTTCCTGGAGTCACTCCCAGTACCAACTACTCCTGTCAGTCAGGGCCCCCGAACAAAACAAATGGCACACTCAGATTAAGACGCTTCTAAGAGAGATTAAGATATTCACACAGCTTGGGGCAGGGTGTAGCGGAAAGAAACTACAAGGGATAGAGCAGGCCGGTGGACTGAGGAGCAGCAGCCTTAAGCCTGAAGGGCTACTGCAACCCAGAAGGAGAGAGACGTGTGGAGGAGGCACCACCTTGCAAGAAGTCGGACTGTCTCAATACAGAGGCAGCCCTTGACAAGCCCACAGGGAGCGAGCCAGGAACATAAATACCGAATCTGGAGGGTACCGTATGTTAACTTGTTAGTAACCCATAGAATGTGGCAGAAGTGATGCTGCATGACACTCAAGGCTACGGCAGAAAAGGGGGTGCAACTTTCACCTTGTTTTAGGAACACCTGCACTTGAAGCCCTGAGGGAGCCTACCCTAGCCCTTGAGTGCAGAGACCAGCTGGAGGAGCCCTGAGACTAGGGAAAGAGAGGGAGGGAGGGACAGAGAGAGGAAAGAGAGGAGGAGAAAAAGAGGGAGGAGAGAGACCAGCGGGCCACGCGCTGTTCTTGCCTCTGCTGTACAGCTCCAGCTCTAGCCACCACCTACCTCTAACCCCAAGAGACCCGGAGCCGGAAGTGCCCACTTAACCCTCCTCATTATTTCTGACACACAGAAACTGTGAGAGATAATAAAATCATTGGTATTTTAGGCCATTAGGTTTTGGGTGAAGGAGCCCTGGTGGTGCAACAGTCAAGCACTCAGCTGCTAACCAAAGGCTGATGGTTTGAAAATACCCAGTGGCTCAGCAGGAGAAAAGGCCTGGTGATCTGTTTCTGTAAAGATTACAGCCAAGAAAACCCTCTGGGGCAGTTCTACTCTATCACTTGGGGTCACCATGTGTCGGAATCAACTTGACAACGACAGGTTTTGGGTGATTTGTTACACAGCAATGTTGCTGCTCACACGCAAGTTCAAGCTGAAGCTGAAGAAAATTAAAACAAGTCCCAAAGAGCCAAAATACCACCTTGAGTACACCCCACCAGAATTTGGAGACCATCTCAAGAACAGATTTGACACAATGAACACTAATGACCAAATGCCAGACGAGCTGTGGGAATGACATCAAAGACATCATACACGAAGAAAGTAAAAGATCATTAAAAAGACAGGAAAGAAAGAAAAGACCAAAACAGATGTCAGAAGAGACTCTGAAACTTGCTCTTGAACGCAGAGTAGCTAAAGCAGAAGGAAGAAATGATCACATAACAGAGCTGAACAGAAGATTTCAAAGGGTGGCTCAAGAAGACAAAGTATTATAATGACACGTGCAAAAACCTGGAGTAAGAAAATCAAAAGGAAAGAATATGCTCAGCATTTCTCAAGCTGAAAGAACTGAAGAAAAAATTCAAGCCTCGAGTTCATTCAAAATATTGAATGACACAGGAAGTATCATAAGAAGATGGGAGGAATACAGAGTTACTGTACCAAAAAGAATTTGTTGGCACTGAGCCATTTCAGGAGGTAGCATATGGTCAAGAACCGATGGTACTGAAGTAAGAAGTCCAAGCTGCACTGAAGGTATTGGTGACAAACAAGACTCCAGGAACTGACAGAATACCAATTAAGATGTTTTAACTAATGGAAGCAGCGCTGGAAGTGCTCATTCGTCTATGCGAAGAAAGCAACAATATGCATAGATCAATTACTGCATAAGTCTTGTAAAGGTAACTGAAGATCTACCACATCATAGGTTCACAGTTGAGTTTTATGCAACCCTAAAAGAAGGAATTGATGGAATACCAACTGAAATGTTTCAACTAATGAATGCAGCGCTAGATGTGCTCCTTCGTCTGTGCTAAGAAATTTAGAAGACAGCTACCTGGCCAACCAACTGGAAGAGATCCACATTTGTGCCCATTCCAAAGAAAGGTGATCCAAAAGAATGCGGAAATTATCGAACAATATCATTAATACCACACACAAGTAAATTTTTGCTGAAGGTAATTCAAAAATGGTTGCAGCAGTACATCAACAGGGAACTGTCAGAAATTCAAGCTGAATTCAGAAGAGGATGTGGAATGAGGGGTATCACTGCTGATGTCAGATGGATCTTGGCTGAAAGCAGAGAATATCAGGAAGGCATTTGACTGTGTGGATCATAAACAATTATGGATAACACTGCAAAGAATGGGAATTCCAGAACACTTAATCGTGCTCATGCATAACCTGTACATAGATCAAGAGGCAGTCGTTTGACCAGAACAAGGGGATACTGCATGGTTCAAGTCAGGAAAGGTGTGTGTTAGGGCTGTATTCTTTCACCACACATATTCAATCTGTATGCTGAGCAAATAATCCGAGAAGCTGGACTATATGAAGAAAAATGGGGCATCAGGATTGGAGGAAGACTCATTAACAACCTGCATTATATAATGACACAACCTTGCTTGCTGAAAGTGAAGCAAAGACTACAGCCTTCAGTATGGACTACACCTCAACATAAAGAAAACAAAAATCCTCACAACTGGACCAATAAGCAACATCACGATAAATGGAGAAAAGATTGAAGTCATCAAGGATTTCATTTTACTTGGATCCGCAATCAACACCCATGGAAGCAGCAGTCAAGAAATCAAAAGACACATTGCATTGGGCAAATCTGCTGCAAAGGACCTCTTTCAAGTGTTAAAAAGCAAAGATTTCACCTTGAGGACAAAGGCACAACTGACCCAAGCCATGGTATTTTCAATTGCCTCATATGCGTTACAAAGCTGGACAATGAATAAGGAAGACAGAAGAAGAATTGATGCCTTTGAATTATGGTGCTGGCGAAGAATACTGAATACACCATGGACTGCGAGAAGAAGGAATAAGTTTCTCTTGAAAGAAGTACAGCCAGAGTGCTTTCTGGAAGCAAGGATGACAACATTTTTGTTCACACACTTCGGACATGTTATCAGGAGGGACCAGTCCCTGGAGAAGGACATCGTGCTTGGGTAAAGTAGACAGTCAGTGAAAAAGAGGAAGACCCTCAAGGAGATGGATTGACACCATGGTTGCAACAATGAGCTCAAGCACAGCAACGATTGTGAGGATGGCACAAGACCAGGCAGTGTTTCATTCTGTTGTACATAAGGTTGCTATGAGCTGGAACTGACTCGACAGCATCTAACAACAACGATGTTGTTGTTGTTAGCTGGCATCGAGTCAATTCTGACTCACGCAGACCCCATGTGTGCAAGAGTAGAACTACTCCATAGGGTTTTCAAGGCTGTGACCTTCCGGAAGCAGATCATTAGGTCTGTCTTCCGAGGTGCCTCTGGGTGGGTTTGAACCGCTAATCTTTCGGCTAGTAGTCAAGCGTGTAACCATCCGTGACACTCAGGGACTCCTTACACAGCAATACTGTACTTTACCATCTTGCCCTGCCCTGTTAGATCCCAGCCCACTTCCCAGATGACAACTTAGCTCTAGCCAGTCACTAACCTCCTTTCTCCACATATTTAATTTTCACTCTGCCCATTCTGATATTAAATCAGAATGTCTCCGTGGGAGCAAGCATCAGCATTTTTTAAAACTCCCATGTGACTCCAATGTACAGACAAGTTTGAAAACCAGTATTATGCAATTAACACTGTGCTGGATACAATTAAATGTCAGTTTTCTTTGTTTTTGAAGAAGGCATTCCTTTTTTCTTTTTCAAGTCTCAGTTGCTAGTCTCTATTATGGCAGCCTCAGAGAATCAGTCACCACTGGTTCTGAAATAAGCTCTGGGCCAGAGAGCTAAGAGAGTGCATCTAACTGTACTATAGCAGCCTGCACTTCTCACTGACAGTTCTGGGATCAATGTTCCCTAGGTGAAAAAGATGTATATTTTAGCATATGAGAATAAATCCTATCACAGGGCACTTGCATCACATTTTCCATTTTTGCAATCACATTTGCTTAATATTTCAATTGGTCTTAAAAACCCTATAAGGGAGCTATGACAAGGAGTTATGTACTTCTGTCCCTGTTTTATAAATGAGGAAATAAAATGTGACTGGTAAGTGGTGAAGTTTGACCCACATGGATTATGCTAGCAGTTCGACTCCCCATACCACATTCCTTAATGGACAAGCAGAATTTCCAAAACACCTAGGAACATTTCACATACAGACCTGAAGGAGAAAAAATCCACCTCCCACAGCTGTTGCCGCCAACTTCCCAACTTTCTGGAATATGAAACCCGTGCACCTACAAAAATCAAACCAACATTAGACAAGTTGATGGGCTGTCAGGTATACACAAACATGCATTTCTGACAATGTTCAGATCCTACTTACCTTGGGATGAGCCATCTCCTTCCTATGCCCTACATGAAGCCAACCCCACAAAGAGCATGGCATAAGGAAATAGCAGAGGCTCTGAGCTCAGAAAGACCCTGATTTGAACCTTGGCTCCACCACTTACTTTGTGGTCTTGAACAAATCACTTAAGGTTGTGTTGTTCAAAGATGACTCTCATAGCTTGAAATGGTAGCTGTAACTTACTGTTTTCATTTAACAACATGTATTCGGGATCATCTCGCATCCGTCCATAGATATCTCAAATCATTTTTATAGCTCAAGAGTATTCCATTGTTCAATCTTTGTTGGTTACCAGGGATGGGGCGGGGGGAGAATACTAAATAGGCAATAGATAAGTGGTATCTTGGGTGAAGGGTGAGACAGTACACAATACAGG